TTCGCGTCAAGAATGACGCCAAGGACTTTGGCTTGCGGGGCGGAAGTGATAGTGGAGTTGTTGGTGATGATGGATAGATAGGATGGGGGGGGGGTGTTGGCAGGGGGAAAGACGAGAAGCTCGGTTTTGGAGAGGTTGAGCTTGAGGAAGTGTAGCGACATCCAGTCTGAGATGTCATTTAGGAGGTGAGTGATGCGGGCGGAGATAGTGGGGGTGAGGTGAGGGGTGGAGAGGTAGATTTGGGTGTCGTCAGCATAGAGGTGATAGTTGAAGCCGTGAGATTGTATGAGTTTGCCCAGGGAGGAGGTGTAGATGGAGAAGAGAAGGGGTCCAAGGACAGAGCCTTGGGGGACCCCAACAGAGAGGGGAGGGAGGGGGAGGTGGCACCATTGTAGGTGACACTGAAGGAGCGTCGGGATAGGTAGGATGAGAACCAAGAGAGAGCAGTATCTCCGAGTTGAAGATGTTATAGCTGCAAAGGGTGGGCCAACTCAATAATGAACCCTACGTACTAAGACTGGGATGCCATTAAAGTTTATGTGCGTGTAAAGGCAGGCGTCCCAATACTTTTGGCAATATAATGTATATCAAATCCCATCCAGAGCAACCAATCCGATTCTCTATTTCACTCACCCATACATTACTAGAAACATTAGAAAACCAACTGTAGGCATATCACATTCCAGTTGTATATGGCACAATTTTCATGCATCTAGCACATGGATATTTTTCACGAGGGCCATATGTTTGTTGTGTTATGTATTCTCTAAGCAGATTATTCAACTAATAAAAGTTTTGAGAAGAAGGCAGGTTCTAATTATTCTCATATATATATATATATATATACTGTATATATATATATATATATTATAGGACTGTAAAAAAACGTTATCCTTACCTTGATGGGACATGTTTTCCACTTTCTAATTATATTAAAAAGGAAATCCCCCCCCCTCTCCCAGAGTTAATTGTAATATTAACCTCTTCTTACCTGGTCTGCTGATAACATACTCGCCCGCCTAGCCAATCTAGTGCTGTCTTGTTGTTATCTGCTAGGTCTGATGCCACCATTTTCTTTCTGATGTCATCCGGATGCCAGCTATCTATTCCAGGGTCTAGCAGCCTGCATCTTGATGATGTTGCACTGCCCTGAAGCTTCCTGGGATCTGTGACATTAACATCCCAGGAGACTTTGGGCTGGGTTGGGAACATCAATCTGGCTTAGACCAAAAAGGTGTAAGCACTGGCTGCCCTCTGCTGAGAAAAGGACTTCCTTTTGCAATTTGTTGAATGGAAAATAAAAAGTGAGTAAAGTTCTTTAGTGGAAAATGAAGAAATGAAAGATAAATCCAGGTTAAGTCAAGAGTAGAAAGCATTTCCTGCTCCAGCCTAAGCAGTGCATGCCTGTATTCTATAGAAGGAGCTGCCGTTTGGCACTAATACCTTAATGACATTAGAAACTGGGTGTCAAGTCAAGTCATCACGAAAATACCTTTACAAGTTGATACGTGATTAGTGAGCTAGGTAACTTAATACCTTGCTGAGGCCTCTAGTCAGCTCAGTGATTTGTCACATATAAATCATTTAGTCCATTAAATGTAAGCTCAGAAAAGGTGACTCCAAAAAACAATGTATCTAGTAATAAGAGGGGATTAATTTTGTTTCGGTTGTAGCCCCGACTGCAGTCTTTTTTATGTCTCAGGTTTGCAGTTTCTCTTGGCACATGTTATGCAGAAGCAAAACTAGAACTGCAATGTTAGTGTTCAAACACATTGTTAAAGGATCTCAATAAGACATGTTGTGTCCACTGTGGGAACTCGCTTCAAATGGTAGAGCTCTTCTTGTTAAAGCACACCACAACTCACTTCTTTAAGGGCTTTTTTGCCCACTTTTATTTAAAGGAAAAAGTTCAACAAAAATGCTTCCCATGCAGGGGTATCCACCATCAAGCAATGCCAACAAAGATTCAGCCTACTGGCTTGTACACAGTTCAATGTCTGTCTCCTGCAGACTCTTCCCAAATTATGGCCACTAGCACACAGCTAGTCTGGCTTCCACCTGACTCCAAGGCAGAGACCTCCCGTCTGCCAGGGTGGAGCCCTCCTGACTCCTGTCTGCCAGGGTGGAGCCCTCCTGACTCTTGTCTGCCGGGGTGGAGCCCTCCTGACTCCCATTTGCCGGGGTGGAACCCTCCTGACTCCCATTTGCCGGGGTGGAGCCCAGAACCATGGTTAGGCCTCTATGAAAAGGCCTGCACACACCTGTGCAATCAGTGTGCTGGGGGTTCTCAAAACACGGACCCCGGATTGGAGATTTCATCCCTCCCAGATCTCTTTGAAATCTCCAGGCTCCAGATCCCAAAACAGACTTAATGAATATATGAGGAAACTGAAAAGCCAGTTTCCTCTGCAATACATCAACTCTCTGGAGCCCCACAACCTGCCTGGTTGAGAATCCAGGGTTTTCAGCTTTATTTTGACCGTGGCAGGACACCGCACTGCCACACCACCAAAACACAGCCTGAGAACAATTATCAACACCATATCATTAAAGTAAAAGGCAATCTGCACACATACGCTTAAAGATAACCCTGTCACCATAAGCCCCAAAAGACAGTGGGGTCAGGGACACTAGAAAAGTGTGTCAATTAGCATTTGGCAAAAAAATTCTTGACCAAATACATGACTCCATGTTTCAGGTACATTCATGTAAGGAATTGCTATGGCAGAAATTAGCAAGGTACCACGAGTTGTTACTTTAAAACAGTGTTTCTCAACCATGTTTAAGTCAAGGCACCCTTCTGCACAATCTTGAAGCACCCCATTCAAAAATGTAAAAAAAACTGAACAAATAGTTTCACAGAAGACAGCAACATCCACACACTACTGAGTAGTCCCAGGTTCTTTTCCCAAACTAGTGCAGCAGCAACAAGTGAATTAACTTATGTGGGGGTCAGGCTAGCAGTGGGATACTCCTGTAGCTCAAAATAAAAACACAAGAACACTTTTCACTTTCTCAAAGCTTCTTAGCAATGTCCTTGCAACAGCAACTAAGGGACTGAGCCACACTGCGACACCAAAGAAAATGTCGACATTTGAGCAAGAACTGTCACTGATGCACAAGCAATATTAGCAGCCCAACAACCACTAGGATCTTACACAAAGGTCTGTACTCACAAATATCTCTGGATACTCGGATGCCTCCTTCCAAATTGGCCACACATTTCTTCTGTGGACTCCTTAGACCAGATCCTCAGTGAAATCCCAGTTACAGCAAAGTCCGGTAGAACAGGCCCCCCACTCTAACACAGCTGGGACCTTGATGAGCACTTAAGCAGGCCTCTCAGCTTAAGCATAGCTGGGACCTCGATGAGCAAACGTAGAAGCACAGCTGGACTACCCATAAGGACAGCAGCCCTTAAGGCTAGGAACTTCTCCATCTGGACAATAACCCTACTGCTCCAAGCCTCACACTATTTATGCACTCCCCAGTTACCTACTGGACATACTTCCCCAGGGGTTGGCTGGGACCATGCAAATATACAGGCTGCCTATTTGACTCTCATGGCCCACTAAATCTCAGAATTCTCCAGAAGGCAGGGGGAAGCAGTCAAACCTGCAACCAGTGAAACCCAGAGCAACCCAAAGCAATCATAAGCTGCTCCACTGAAAACAGGCCAAAACTAAATTTACCTAACTTAACTAGCAGCCTATCTTAGGAGGGTACTGCACACATAGCATACCCAACATTAGAGGTGATTTATTCGTACCAAGAAAATATACCTTTGTGCACTGGTACTGACTAGTATTCCAGCTTTTTACTTCTGCCACAGTTTCTCTCTGTCAGGAATGGACTTGCCAGTAATGGTGGGACTCACCTGCCTTGTGGGCTGCAGTACCAGGGCTGGCCAGCGGGTGCTCCCAGCAATCAGAGACTCAACCCTGCAGCCAGCCAAACACCTGAAGTTGATTATGCAGGTGTATTTAAGGGATGGCCAGACCTGCAGTCTCTGCCTTGGTGTGTGTTTTTCCTGGGCCCTGTATCTTGTTCCTGTTCCTGTTCCTGTCTCTGTCTGATTTGTTGCTGACCCTGCCTGATCCGGACCTCTGCTGACTTCTCCTGTTTTATCCCTGGCTTGTGACCCCGACCATTCTCTGCCTGACCCCCTGTACCTACCTGCCCGATTGTTATTGACCCGGCCTGCCTGACGACGCTTGCATTGTATGTACTGTTATCTGTGGGTGGTTTGGTTTGGTTCGTTTGCACTGTGTTATGTTTTAGTATTGCACTGCGTTTATGTTTGTATTGTTAGTCTTTAATAAATTATATTGTTTATAACTTATCTGAAGCCTGCGTTTCCCTGCGTCAGTTCACATGCCTCTGGTCATACCTCGGGAGCCCTGACATTACACCAAGGCCAATCCTGACCAGAAGTGGCTGCACAGGGAAGCAATCTTGGCTTGTTGCTGGGGAAGGATGGATCTTGATGAGGTTGTGTATTTATCTCTGCTAGTGTTTGATGACAGAGAGTATGCTTATCAAACTCTGAAGGAGTATCCCCGGGATGAACTGCTAGAATGTATACGGATCGCTCATTGCCTAGTAGATCAGGGCACAGAGTTCTCTGAGGTGCAGCCATTGATTCAGGTTTGTGCTGAGTTGGTTTCATCTGGTACCCCCGAATGCAGGGATGAATTTTTGCCCCCATTTAGTGCCGACCAGGTAGAGTCCCTGGTATGGTTATTAGAGGATGATGTGGATTACTTTCTGGAGCGTTATTCCACATGTTCACCACAGACACTAAGAGATTGTATAAACGCAGTGCAGTCTTTGGTCAGACAGGCTTTGTGTAAGCTGAGCTTTGTTCAACCCATACTGCAGACATGGTCAGACTTGTTGCACCCAGCCTCAGTCAGCTTGCAAAAACCCAGTCCTGCTTCTAATCTATTTCTTCAAAGCTCTATTCCTGCATTCCCAACAGCACCTCCAGTTACAGCCCAGTATACCCTGCTATCTTCCGCATGTCAGTACCCTGTTCCCACTCTCTGTACCTATCCTGCCTTTAACCCTGTAAAGAAGCCCTCTGTAGCAACTGTTCCCTCCCCTGTTCCATCCTCCAGCTCTTCTCTTTCTCCAGCTGCTCCATCCGTTTACAAACCTGCGCTTACTTACGGTGCTCCGGTAACTAAAACCAGAAAAGGCGAAAGTTCTTTCCAACCAATACCATCCTGCCAGTATCCAAACCGGTCAGCCTCCCATCTAAGAACCTGCCTTCCGTGGTGCAGCCTGGTGCCTCGGCGCCCACAATTCAGCCTGATGCCTCTACCCAGCCTGATGCCTCTACCCAGCCTGATGCCCCTACCCAGCCTGATGCCTCCATTCAGCCTGATGCCTCCATTCAGCTTGATGCCTCTACCCATCATGATGTTTCTACCCAGCCTGATGAACTGATCCAGCCTGATGATTCCATTAGGCCAGTTGACTCGAGGCCCGCTGTCGAGCCAGACGATCCAATGCCTGATGACCCAGTGCCCGCTGTCATGCCTGGTGACCCGATGCCCGCTGTCGGGCCAGACGATCCAATGTCTGACCCAGTGCCCGCGGTCATGCCAGTTGACTCGGAGCCCACTGTCGTGCCTGGTGACTCGGTGCCCACTGCCTTGCCAGATGACGCGGTGCCCGCTGGCGAGCCAAATGACCTGATGCCTGGTGACCCAGTGCCCGCTGTCATACCTGGTGACCCGATGCCCGCTGTCGAGCCAGACAATCCCATGCCTGATGTCCCAGTGCCCGCTGTCATGCCTGGTGACCCGATGCCCGCTGTCGGGCCAGACGATCCAATGTCTGACCCAGTGCCCGCCGTCATGCCAGTTGACTCGGAGCCCACTGTCGTGCCTGGTGACTCGGTGCCCACTGCCTTGCCAGATGACGCGGTGCCCGCTGGCGAGCCAAATGACCTGATGCCTGGTGACCCAGTGCCCGCTGTCATGCCTGGTGACCCGATGCCCGCTGTCGAGCCAGACGATCCAACGCCAGATAACCCGGTGCCCGCTGTTGATCCAGACGATCCGGTACCTGATGACCCGGTGCCCGCTGTCGTGCCAATTGACTCAGAGCCCACTGTCGTGCCTGGTGACTCGGTGCCCACTGCCTTGCTAGATGACGCGGTGCCCGCTGTCGAGCCAAATAACCTGATGCCTGGTGACCCGATGCCCGCTGTCGAGCCAGACGATCCAATGTCTGACCCAGTGCCCGTGGTCATGCCAGTTGACTTGGAATCCACTGTCGTGCCTGGTGACTCGGTGCCCACTGCCTTGCCAGATGACGCGGTGCCCGCTGGCGAGCCAAATGACCTGATGCCTGGTGACCCGATGCCCGTTGTTGTGCCTGATGACCCGGTGCCCGCCGCTCCGCCTGGGGACCCGGCGCCCGTCGCTCCTCCTGGGGGCCCAGTGCCTGCCGCCCCTCCTGGGGGCCCGGTGCCTGCCGCTCTGCCTGAGGGCCCGATGCCTGTCGCCCCGCCTGGGGGCCCAATGCCTGCCGCCCCGCCTGGGGGCCCGATGCCTGCCGCTCCGCTCCGCCTGGGGGCCCGCTTGCCGCTCCGCCTGGGGGCCCGATGCCTGTCGCTCCGCCTGGGGGCCCGATGCCTGTTGCTCTGCCTGGGGGCCCGATGCCTGTCACTCCGCCTGGAAGCCCGGTGCCTGTCGCCCCTCCTGGGGGCCCGGCGCCCGCCGCTCCGCCTGGGGGCCTGATGCCTGTCACCCCTCCTGGGGGCCTGGTGCCCGCCGCTCCGCCTGGGGGCCCGGTGCCTGCTGCTCCGCCTGGTGGCCCGGTGCCTGCTGCTCTCCGCCTGGTGGCCCGGTGCCTGCTGCTCCGCCTGGTGATCCGTGTGTCCAGCTCGATGTGCCTCTGCCCGGAGTCCAGCTCGATGTGCCTCGCCTCTGCCCGGAGTCCTGCCCGGAGTCCTGCCCGATGTGCCGCTGTGCCCGGAGTCCTGCCGGAGTCCCTGCCCGATGTCCTGCCCGATGTGCCCGAGTCTGCCCGATGTGTGCCGTGTGCCGGTGCCCGGAGTCCTGCCCGATGTGCCGCTGCCCGGAGTCCTGCCTGATGTGCCAGTCTTTGATATCCCGCCAGTTACCAGACCCGGGCGGTGGAACACATTTTGACTGTTTAAAGCGTCCTGAGGCCGCTCCTTGAGGGGGGGGGGTACTGTCAGGAATGGACTTGCCAGTAATGGTGGGACTCACCTGCCTTGTGGGCTGCAGTACCAGGGCTGGCCAGCGGGTGCTCCCAGCAATCAGAGACTCAACCCTGCAGCCAGCCAAACACCTGAAGTTGATTATGCAGGTATATTTAAGGGATGTTTATACAAGAAAACTTATTCCTGCGCCAAGACTTTCCAAATAACACTCTAAAAATGCTGCTGTGCCAATCGTGAAAACACAGACAATATAAATATAAATAAACAGCGCAAATTTAGATAATTAATCAATATAATAAATCATATAAAATAGGTATCCAGCAACTAGAGAAGAATAATGATATTGTAATAAGAGTAGCGGACAAAGGGGGAGGTGTTGTAGTGTTGAATAAGAAGGATTACTATGAGGAACTCAATAGATTGGTGGGTGATAGGAGTACTTATGAACTACTTAAGGGTAACCCTATAAAAAGCTATAAAAATAAACTTGTGAAAATAGTGAAAAAAGGTGAAAAAGAAGGTTTTTTGAATAAGAGAGAGGCAAAATATTTAGTACCGAACGCACCTGTTACTCCAGTTATATACCAATTACCTAAGATTCACAAGAACTTAATGAAACCACCGGGAAGACCCATAATAAATGGGATCGATTCACTTTTCTCTAGGCTGGGGGAGTATGTGGATAAATTCCTACAGCCTATAGTTTCGGTCTTTCCATCGTATTTGAAGGATAGTGGTGATTTAATTTCAGTTTTAAAACAAGTAAGAATAGAAGGTAATTGTGTCATGGCAAGTGTAGATGTTAATGCATTATATACAAATATTAGACATGCTGATGCTTTAAGAGCGGTAAAATGGTCATTAAAGGAAAAATCAGGGTTAAAAGCTGACAAATTAAATATCTTCTTGAATGTCTGGATTTAGCAATGTCGAATAACTATTTTTGGCATTTGAATAGTTATTACAGACAGTGCACCGGGGTGGCAATGGGAGCGAAGTATGCTCCATCAGTAGCTAATCTTTTTATGAGTATGTGGGAAGATAAAGCAATTTTTGAAAAGAAGAATCATAAGTTATTGCTCTATAAAAGATTTATAGACGATATAGTGATAATCTGGAAGGGTACAAAGGAAGAACTGGAGGATTACATTCATGAAATGGGGTGTAATCCTTATAATATATCCTTTACAAACTATATTAGTACAGAAGCGATTAATTTCTTGGACTTAACTATCTACAAACAAGGAGATTCGTTGTATACTAAGACTCATTTCAAAGAAGTCGATAGAAATGCATACATCCCCACACATAGTTGCCACCATAGGAATTGGCTAAGATCCATCCCTAAAAGCCAATTGATAAGACTGAAACGTAATTGTGATGATAAGGAGATCTTTCATAAGCAAGCAGATACTTTGTTAGAGAGATTTAGGGAGAAAGGTTATAAAGAGGAGATATTAACAGGTGCAGTTAACCAGGTAAGTAAAATTAGAAGAGAAGATTTGTTAAATAAAATAAAGAAAGAAAATAGAAGAGGGGAATTATCCTTTATAACGGGGTATTCGAATCAGCATAAGGCTTTTGAAAATATAATACGAAAACACTGGCAGATTTTAAAAAGGGATGAGGTTCTTCATGACCTATTACCTAAGAAACCTTCATTTGTTTATAGAAAACCACCTACACTTAGATTAAAATTAGCAAAAAATGTTCCAGATATTCCAAAGAAAAAGGCGACTTTTCTTGATAGTGTGGGGTTTTTTAAATGTAAAAGATGTTTGGTATGTAAAACAATGAAAGGAGATAATATCAGAAGGTACGATACGTTTTATTCTTGTTCAAATGGTTCCTCTTACAAGATAAAAAACTTTATATCATGTGATAGCTCGTTTGTCACCTATGTGTTAGAATGTCCATGTCATCTTCAATACGTAGGGAGAACATCTAGAAAATTGTCAGTGAGATTAGGGGAACATATTAGAAATATTAAAAAAGGTTATAAGTATCATAGTCTTTCCCATCATTTTAGAATGTATCATAACAGGGACCCATCTTGTTTGAAATTCTGTGGGATCGATCGAGTTTTAGCACCTTGGAGGGGAGGAGATAGGGTCAAGTCCATCTCACAGAATGAAACGAGATGGATCCTAAAATTGGGTTCCTTGTTGCCCAGGGGGTTAAATTCAGATATAGATATCAACTGTTTCCTGTCAGATTGGTAAGAGTAGAGAATTTAGTGTTTAAAGATTGCTATATATTTGATATTTTTTATATTTTTTATTTTTGATTTTTATGTTTATTTATTCACATATTTTTATATTTTTTTTATTTTTATTGTATTTTATTTTTATTTTTATTTATTTTTATTTTCATTTTTATTTTTATTTTTATTCATTATTTTTCATTATTTTTCATTTCTATTTATTTATATTTTTTATTCATTTTTTTATTCATTTTTTATTTATATTTTTTTTTTTTTTATTTATTTATTTTTTATTATTATTTTTTTTTATATATATATATATATATATATATATATTTTTTTTTATTTTTTTATTTTTTTTATTATTTTTTATTATTATTTATATTTATTTTTATTTTTATTTTCATTTTTATTTTATTTTATTTTTAATTTTATTTTTATTTATATCTATTTTTATTTTTATATTTCATTTTTTATTTATTTTGCAATCTGTTTTTAGATAGATATACATTTGTTAATATGCATTATATTAAACTATAAAGATATTGTTTTTAATTGAATTGTTTATATCAATTGTTAGAATTCATGATGTTGTTATGTGGATTGATTGGCATTTTGTAAAGGTCTCTCACGTCTTGGAGTGGGAGGAGCAGCCTCTTAAATTATCCTGGGAGGTGGTCTGACCAATCAAATCGGAGGGGAGGGTATTCCATTGATATTTAAGTGAGTGAGGACTGGAGATGGGTGTCTTGATAACGCCCTATGGGAGGGGCGAAACGCGTTGACGCATTTCCGGTCCACACTCCATGCGCCTGACGTCATTTCCGGTGAGTGGAGCGCACGCTGAGCGGTGCGTTCCAGCGGCCATCTTGGTTCACTGTTTGGTCTAAGAGGAGTCCTGTCTTTGTTCCACTGTGGATGTGAGAGTCCTGGAAGGAAAAGTCTGTATATCTGCTGGAACTGAAGCCTTTTATACATAATAAACATGTCTTTAGCAAGTGTTTAACATGTGAGTGGCCTTAATCTCCATTTGGAAAAAGTTACTATAGTGTGACAATATTATGCTATGTGAGTTTTTTTCTTTTGGTTGGATGGTGGAGTCTATTCGGAGGGTGAAGATTTTCCCTAGCGTGGCACCAAAGAGGGTTTAGGATCCCTAAAAATTCCTTAAAGGTCCTTTACTCACCAAGTTCTGGTGAGTGTATTCGATGTTGGTTTGTGCACTGGTGGAAGGTGAAAGTATTTTCTGAAGAAAAGAAGTTGGCACTTTTATTTCTACAATTTAATTATGTTTTCAGCACATGGACTTTTGGGTGTTTTTGTTTAAGATTAAGGGCAAACACGAATAATTTATGCACCTATTTTATATTTAAGGGATGGCCAGACCTGCAGTCTCTGCCTTGGTGTGTGTTTTTCCTGGGCCCTGTATCTTGTTCCTGTTCCTGTCTCTGTCTGATTCGTTGCTGACCCTGCCTGATCCGGACCTCTGCTGACTTCTCCTGCTTTATCC